GGCGTCCACGAGCTGGAAGCCCGCCTCGACGCCTATATGGCGGACACCGACACCCTCGCGCCGCCGCCTGGCCGACGCGGAACGCTCCGGCCTGCGCTCCGAAGCCGAAACCCTGCTGGGCCATGTTCGAGATGTAGATGGCGTCAATCTGGTCGCCAGCACCACCTCGGCCCACAACGTCGAAGCCATGCGCGAAATGGGCGACTACCTGAAGCAAAAACTGGACAGCGTGTTCGTCGCCCTGGGCGCGGTCATCGATGGCTCTCCGGTTATCGTCACCATGATAACCCCGGATCTGGTCGACCGGGGCCTCCACGCCGGGAACATCGCCCGCGACGCCGCCAAGATCATGGGAGGCGGTGGTGGCGGACGCCCGGACGCGGCCCAGGCCGGAGGTCGCCAACCGGATCGGCTCGGCGCTGCCCTCGACGCCGTATCCAATCTCATCCGCACGGAGTTGGCCCACTGACCACCCCGGCTGACGCGGCAAGTCTGGCTGAATCCGGTCGCCTGATCGGCCTCGATGTCGGTGACCGCCGCATCGGTGTGGCCGTCAGCATCCCTCCCGGCTCCCTCGTCCTGCCGGCCGGCCACATTGACCGCCGCAACCTGCGCTCGGACATAGCCAGCATCCTTGAGGCAGTTTCCCAGCGTCAGGCGGTAGCCATCGTGGTGGGCATGCCCTACGATGCCCAGGGCCGGCCCGGCCAGCAGGCCCGCAAGATCCAGTCGGTGGTGCGCGCCCTGGAACGTTCCGCCGCCGTCCCCGTGTTCGTTCAGGACGAAGCGTTCACGTCTTCATCCGCCGAGGCCGAACTCCGAGCCTCAGGGCGCAGACCCAGCCGGGAACCGGGCGCCGTTGACGCTGGCGCAGCCGCCGCCATCCTGCGTCGTTTCATCAACCCCGATTGAGCCTGATCAACACCCGCTAAAATCGTCAAAAATTGCGATAATATGTTCTGAGTTGCGTTGACGTTCTCCGAACTCCAGTTCTATAATCTCAATAGATTAGAACACACGTTCCGGAGAAATGACATGTTTGCAAGTGATGCTGTTGCTCCCCGCCGCGACGATTTACTCGAGCCAGGGTTCGAACACTACGAGGATACGGGGTGCGAAGTTGCCCCCGTTTGCCTGGAGTGTCCCCTCCCTCGCTGCAAGTTTGACGACATGGCCTGGTACTCCAAATACCGCCGCATGGCCCGCGACCTGCGCATTATGTCCATCATAGAACGCGACGAGTTGTCCATCGAGGATGCAGCCGCCCGGTTCGCGGTCACCAAGCGCACCGTTTTCCGCGTCCAGCAGCGCTGCCGCAACGCCATCCGGGAACTAACCGCATCGGAGATCGAAGTGTTCTCCCGGCTGGCGGCATGACGGCATCCGCGATTAACCCCGGGGCAGGCCCAGCCCCCGGCCGGCCACGATCCCCCGTTGCACTTCCGACGTACGCCGCCGGCAATCTTGTGCGAAAAACTGATCATCCAGTTCTCGGGCAGTCTTCCCTTCAGCGGCGCCCGCGATTCATTGCGACCCAACGCGCCCGGCATCCCCACGATCTCCAGCACGCTGTGTGCCGAACGGTGCAGCGTTTCACTGCCGAAAGCCTTGCTCATGGATGCTTCCTTGTTCGGCACCAGCCCTTCGCCCTGCATCCACGCCACGTTGTACGCCATCAGACGCGCCACTTCGCACTCGACATATCGGTCGGCAAACAGATTGCGCACCCACGGAACGTCGATGATCTTGCTCCCGTTACGTGACATCTCACCGGCATATTCCCGGGTATCGTCCAGCAATCGCCGCGCAATCGCCGAGTAGTCGATGCCAGACCGCTCGAAGTCCAGCAGCGTAACCGCCACGTACCAGCCCCGGTTTTCCTCGCCAACCACGTTGCTGCTGGGCACTCGCACGTTGTCGAAAATCACCTGATTGAACTCATGTCCGCCGGCCATGTTTATCACCGGGCGCACCTCTATCCCCGGTGATTTCATGTCCACCAGGATGAAGCTGATCCCACGGTGGCGGGGCGCCTCCGGATCGGTACGGGCCAGGCACATTATCCAGTCCGACCGGTGCGCCAGCGTGGTCCAGATTTTGGCCCCGTTGATGATGTAATCGTCGCCGTCGCGCACCGCCCGCGTGCTTAGCGAGGCCAGGTCCGACCCCGATTCCGGCTCGCTGTAACCCTGGCACCACTGGATTTCACCCTTCGCTATGGACGGTAGGTGCGTCTGTTTCTGTTCCTCGCTGCCGTGAATCATCAACGTCGGGCCAAGCATCCGCACGCCGAAAATATCCCGCCCCGGCGCTCGCAGGTAGGCCAGTTCTTCGTTGTAGATCGCCGACCGAACCGGCGAGGCATCCTGACCCCCATACTCTTCGGGCCAGTGCATCGTCAGCCAGCCCCGGTCCGCCAGACGACCCCGCATCTGCATCGTAAAGTCCCAGTCGTATTCCTCCGGCCAGCGGCCGCCGCCCTCCCAGCCTGGGGGTAGTTCGTCCTCTATGAACTGGCGTAACTCGCGGCGAAAATTATCGTCGCCCGGAGTGAAGCGATACTCCACCAGGACCTCCCATTAATGCGATCAATTGGTCATCCTGAAACCCGGGATCAAGCGTCCACTGCCACGCAGGTCACGGTGCGTACCACTCCAACAACCGTGTGGATTTTTTCCGTCACCAGCCCACCGACAACCGACATGTCGTCGCCGGAAATTACGGCGATGATGTCGTAAGGGCCAGTGACCACGTCCACCGACTCGATCCCGTCCAGATCACGCAGCGTGTTCGCAACGTCTCTGGTTCGACCGACCGCGGTTTCTACCAGCAAAAAGGCTTTTGTAGCCATGATTGGCGCCTCCTTTCATGGGGCGTATGGATAGAGCATGTTCAAACTGAGACTACATCCGGTCGATTGCACCCCGGCGTGTAGCGGACGCAATTCTACGGCGACGCCGCCGGCCATGTCAATTAACCCATGCCCCGCGCATCCTGAGCCTAACCTCCTCCGTTCGTCCTGAGCCTGTCGAAGGATCATCCTGAGCCTAACCTCCTCCGCTCGTCCTGAGCCTGTCGAAGGATCATCCTGAGCCTAACCTCCTCCGCTCGTCCTGAGCCTGTCGAAGGATCATCCTGAGCCTAACCTCCTCCGCTCGTCCTGAGCCTGTCGAAGGATCATCCTGAGCCTAACCTCCTCCGCTCGTCCTGAGCCTGTCGAAGGATCATCCTGAGCCTAACCTCCTCCGCTCGTCCTGAGCCTGTCGAAGGATCATCCTGAACCATTCCTGTCATTCCGAGGAGCGTCAGCGACGTGGCAATCCCGTACCAAACCACGGCCCAAAATCCTGTCCATCCATGTCGGAATCGGCCCCCCTCTCCCCTCGTGGGAGAGGGGCTGGGGGTGAGGGGCGCAAGCCCTTACCCGGCACAGACCCAGGGTAGAAAGACCCTATGCCACCGGATCAAGGCCGGCCGCCAACTTCCGCACCAGCTCAGCAGCCGCCGCTTTGGTGTCCTCGCGCGCCAGGGCGTGTTCCAGCGACGCCCTCAACAACCCAATCGGGTTTCCGCCGTCGTATCTGATGCCCTCAAACTCGCAGGCGTACAGGGGAAAGTCTTCCATCAACAGCGCCAGACCGTCCGTCAACTGGATTTCGCCCCTGGCTCCGGGCGGCGTGCGTTCCAGGCACTCAAATACCTGCGGCGGGAGGATGTACCGACCCACTATGGAGAGGTTGGATGGGGCAGTGCCCGGCGGCGGTTTCTCCACCAGCCCCTTCACCCGGTGCCGACGCTCCCCGTCCGGATCAGCATCCACCACCCCGTAGTTGTGGACTACCTCCCACGGCAACCGTTCCACGGCCACCGCGGCCACGGACTCACCGTTGCCCGACTGCTCGGCGGTTGCCGCCAGCATCTGGGCCAGCGCCCCCGGGGTATTAGCGATGATGTCGTCGGGCAGTATCACCGCAAACGGTTCGTCCCCCACGGCGTCCCGAGCCGTCAGGACCGCATGGCCCAGGCCCAGCGGTTCTTCCTGAATCACAAATGACACGTCCGCCAGGTCGGTGCCCGAGCGTACCCGACTCAACAAATGCTCGTCATCAGCCAACCGCTGCTCCAGGTCAGGCCGGGGCCGGAAATACTCGGCGATACCCTCTTTCCCGGGCGACGTTATGACTATAACCTCGGTGATCCCAGCCTCTGCAGCCTCCGCGACCACGTATTGCAACATCGGGCGGTCCAGAATGGGCAGCAGTTCCTTCGGCACCGACCGGGTAACCGGTAAAAACCGCGTCCCCAGACCGGCAGCGGGTATGATGGCTTTCCGTAACATGTTCCCCCGTTTGGGAATCGCTACACGGGCGCTCGGCGCGTGTGCCAGTCAGTTGCCTGCTGATAAGCGTACGATGCGCGCAGGATGGTTCCTTCCGCGAACGGCGCCGCGCCAATCTGCAGGCCGATCGGCAACCCGTCTGCGGTGAATCCGCCCGGTATGGAAATCGCCGGCATCGCTGCAAGTGGGTAACAACCCGTGTACGACCGACGGAAAAAGAAACGCTGTCGCACATCTTCGGCGCTTTCGAATCTGGCCGTCAGCGCGTCGTGCCGCGGCGCCGGATACGGAGCCGTTGGCGACACCAACACGTCAACCCGCCGGAACGCATCCTCAAATTGCCGCCTCAGCAGAACCCTTGCTTTCATCGCCCGGTTCTGCACTTTCGCCGGAACCAGCGAAGCGCTCTGCAATCGGGTGCGTGAGGCCCGGTCCAGTTGTTCCGGTGCGCGAAGCATCAATCCATCCCGGGCGCCGGCGCCCTCAGTATCGGCAATGCCCACAAAAATCGCTCCGGCCATCTCGGTCAGCGGCACCGACACATCGACCACCTCCGCCCCCAACCCGGCCAACGTTTCCAACGCCTGGTCAATCGCCGCCCGCACGTCGGCGTGCATGTCCGGCGAGTCGCACAGCTCGGTCAGCCGGCCAACGCGCATCCCCGTGATAACGCCATCCAGCATCCCGTAGTAATCGGGCACTGGCCGGCGGCTGGTGGTCGGATCCAGCGGGTCGTAACCGGCCACCGCTCCCAGCACCAGTGCACAATCCTCAACCGTCTTGGTCATCGGGGCGGCGGCGTCCATGAACCAGCACATGGGTGTAACCCCGTACCGGCTGATGCGGGTGAAAGTCGGACGCAGCCCAACACCATTGCAATAGGATGCCGGCCCCCGACCGCTGCCCCCCGTGTCCTCACCCACCGATGCCGCGCATAGATGCGCCGCCAGCGCCGCCCCGGACCCACTGCTCGATTCGCCGGGCGTATGTCCAGCCCGCCACGGATTCTGCGGCGTCCCGTAAGGAGGATCAGCCGTGCCTCCCATCGCCAGCTCGCTCAGGTTCAGCTTGCCCATCAGAATTGCCCCGGCTTCCTTCAGCCGGGCCACCACGGTAGCATCCGTTTCCGGGATGTTGTCGGCGTAGGCCCTGGAGCCATTGCTCGTCAGTATGCCAGCCGTATTGAACTGGTCTTTGACGGCCACCGGCACTCCGAACAATGCCCCGGCGACCCTGTCGTCGCCACGGCGCAGCGCGTCGTCCGCATCCGATGCCGCCCCCAACGCCTCTTCCCGGCACACGGTGATGTAGGACTTGATATCTGCGTCGATCGCGTCGATCCGGCGCAGGTATGCGTTCACCGCGTCGGTAGCCGTAAACTCACCGGCGCGGATACCTGCCGCAGTGGCCTCGGCAGACAGGAAAACTATCTCGTCAGAGTTGGCGGGCATCACCAATTGTAAGCTCCCATGTGTGGCGTGTCGTAATACCGGCCTCGCAACCGGTCATACGCTGGCTAATCGTCAGAACCCGTTTCAGGAAGATTCCGGACCTGGAAATTCTGTATCCGGGAATATGGTGACCGGTTCAAGCCCTTCCAAGTCCAGTTCTCGCAGCCGGTCCAACTCCTGCATCAGACTGCCGAAGCGATTGGCCACCTCGGGCAAATCGGCGGCGTCGATAGAGATGCCAACCAGTTCGGCCAGCATCCTGACCTGTTCTTCCGGTGTGTTTGTGTCAGCCAACGAACAACTCCTTCAGGATGCCAGGTGCGTATCAGGCGGTACGATACGGGATAGCCTCAACGGGTGTCAAACCCGACTGCTCCCCCCCATCTGATCCTGCTGCTATTCCTCCAGCCACCGCTGGAACCAGCCCATCATCCGCTCCAGGTAAGCCTGCCGCAGCGCCACGTGACCCGTCCTCAAAAACCCGTGGCCGCAGCCGGGAAACCTCACCATCGCAACCTCTTTTTCCAACCGTTTCAACATCTGGAAATATTGCTCGCTCTGACCGATGGGGCATCGCGCATCGCTTTCTCCGTGCAGCAGCAGCACCGGAGTGTCCACCTTCGGGGCGAACGTGATGGGCGAGCGCTGCAGCAGCCGGTATGCCAGGTCATCCACCCCCTCAGCAAGCTCAGTTACCATCGGGGCCGTCGTAGGCGCTCCGCCGGAAGGCCGCGCCGACCACTGTGTTTCGCCAAAACTCGCGGCAATGTCAGACGTGCCATACATGCTCCACAGGTCGATGCACGGCGCACCGGCAACGGCGGCGCGGAACCGGTCATCGTGGCCGATTATCCATGTGGTCATATACCCGCCGTAACTATATCCGTGTATCAACAGACGCTCGGTATCCACGTACGGACGGGCGCACACCGCATCCACGCCTGCCATCAAATCCAGGTAATCCTCGCCTCCCCAGTCGCCCAACACCGAATTGACGAACTCCTCGCCGTAGGTCGATGATCCGCGCGGGTTCACCGCCAGCACCAGGTACCCAGCCGTCGCCGGCACCTGATGCCAGGGCACAAATGAATCGTAGAATGCGCCGTTGGGTCCACCGTGAATTTCCAGCAGCAACGGATACCGCTTGCTGGCGTCGAACCCCGGCGGGTGATACAGCCGGCATTCGATGTCCCAACCGCCCCGGTTGATGCTGAACTTCTCCAGCGGGGCCGGCGGGTGTTCTGCCAACCATTCATCGTTATGAGACGTTACCCGCCGCCGCGTCGCCACTGACTGCTGATTACCGTTCAGGGTCACTGATTCCAGCTCAGAAGGAGAATCAGGAGCCGACGCTACCAGGGCTGCGAGGCCAGCCGAGCCATCAAAGGCAATACCTGACAGCAACTCTCCACCCTCTGTCAGCGCCACCGGCTCCGCCATGCTGCCGTCCGCCGTCACCCGCAGCGAATACAACCGGGTCTCTCCGCCGGCGTCGGCCAGGAACAGAACCATGCCCTCATCAGCGGCGTCGGACTCACCCTGGATCCAGCGCAAATCCAGCGGCGGGTATATGCCAGGGTATCCCAGGCAGGGGCGGATGCTGTCGTCCGTAATGCGGCGCGGCGGTGCGTCCGGCTGCAACACGTACAGATACGCCTGCCACAGCACCATCAGTCCGTCCCCGGTCGCGCCGGCAGTCAACAATTTGCGCCCGTCGGGAGACCAGGCTACGGCCGCGGCGTCGGTCAATCCCTGCGACCACAACGCCGGCTCGGGCATCGGAGAGTCATCGGGATCTGTCTCCGGTACGCCAACCACATACACCTCGCTGCTGGCGGTTACGTCCCGGGCCTCCGACCTACCAGATATGAACGCGATGCGCCGTCCGTCCGGGGCCCAGGCCGGAGCCATATCGTCCCAATCGCCATCGGTAAGTTGAGTCGCTTCCCCGGTTTTGGCGTCCACGATAAAAATGTGAAAATGACAGTCGCCCCGCCAGCCGATTGCATCGTGCCGGTAGCGAATCCGGTTTACTTCCCGCACCGTCGGCTCATCATTTTTCGTTGCGTCGGCGCCCCCTCCGTCATCCGGACACACGTCGATCACCACCGCCATGCGGGATGAATCGGGAGCCCATGCGAACTCACGGACGCCGTTGGGCAGGTTGGAGCACTGAGCAGCCTCCCCGCCCCGCGCCGGCATTGACCAAACCTGCTTCGACCCGTCCGGTCCGTCGCCGCCGGGCCGCAGAAACGCCAGCGTCGCACCATCCGGAGAAAACCGCGGGTGAGAATCGGCGTCTCCGCGAGTGAAGGGTTCCGGGTCATCGTACGCGCCGTCCGACCCTGGCGGTCCTGCCTGGTAGATGCGAGAGCGGCTGGATGAAGTGTCTGCGTCGATCCACGACAGCACGTAGGCGCATCGCGATCCATCCGGTGACATGGTGGGATCACCGACGGCGCGCAGATGTCGGAACAGGTCGGCCCCTATTGGTTGCGTCATTACAGGTTCACTCCCTGGCTGTGTGCGATGAAAAAAGTAGCATCGAGACGGGAATTATCCCAAAAATTCCCGGAAATTTTAATATGATTTTAACATTGAGCCTTGACGTATCAATCATCGGTGTATATAATAACAGTAATCGCAATATGGTATATGGTTGAACCCCACACAGGAGGAAGCAACGATGGTTACTGTTAACGAAGTACTGACCAACAAACAGATTGAACAGCGGCCCAGGTTGCTTAGCGAATGGGTCGAACAGGACATGTCGGATATCCTGACTGAGTATGGCGCCCGCATGGAAGATTCGGCGCCCGAACGCGTAACCCACCGGGCTATGCCCAGCTTCGGCTACGGCGTTCCCATGGCCGGCGTGCGTTATTACACCTTCCTGCCGGAGAGATAACACCCCAGAACACCGCCTCCTCGACCGCTGGCAGCCGCCTGCATCACCCACTCACGCACGGCGCCAGCAACCACACAAGGGCCGGGCAATTGCCCGGCCCTCGGTGTTGTACCGGACCCATGCGAACCGGGCAATCGTCTGTCTAATCGCCGGCGTATCCCCGATTCCGTATCTCCTGCTCCATGTGTCCGCGGATACTGATGAGCGCCGCGGCTCCTTCACCCACGGCTGCCGCCACCTGCTTGGTACTCCCCGCCCGAACGTCGCCGGCAGCGAATACGCCGTGCCGGTTGGTTTCCATCCCGGTACCCGTTTTGATGAAGCCGCGTTCGTCCAGTTCCACCGAGTCGGCCAGGAAGGCGGTATTCGGATCAAGCCCGATGAACACAAACACTCCGGCCGGGTGCAGCTCATCCTGCTGCCCGGTGTTCACATCCTCAACCAGCACCGACGATAGTTTGCCGTCACCGCGAAATTCGCGCACCGTGGTGTTCAGCCGGATGTCCATTTGCGGATGAGCGGCGGCTTTGTCCTGCAACACCTGGCTGGCGCGCAGCCTGTCGCCAACCTCCAGCACGGTCACATGAGAGGCAAACCGGGTCAGGAACAAGCCCTCCTCGATTCCGCTGTTGCCCCCGCCCACAACCAGGGTATCCATGTCGCGGTAGAACGGCCCGTCGCAGGTCGCGCAAAAATGCACCCCTGCCCCAATGAAGTCGTCCTCGCCGGGCACGTTGAGTCGACGGTAGCGGGTTCCCGGCGTCAGCAGGACAGCCGGAGCACGGTATTGGTCGCCGGATTCGGTCACCACGGTGCGGACACCGCCATCCTCGTCGCCGGCATCTATCGATGCCACGGTCTGCGCTATCAGCAACTCCACGCCGAACCGTTCAGCCTGTTCTCGCATCTGATCGGCCAGGTCCGCGCCCGATATTCCCTGGGCAAAACCCGGGTAGTTGTCGATGCGCTCCGTCGACCCGGCTTGCCCGCCGATGCCGCTGCGCTCGATAACCAGCGTTTCCATGCTTTCTCTGGCGGCGTAGATTGCAGCCGTTAAGCCGGCCGGGCCACCGCCCACGATGATCAGGTCGTAGTAGGATCGGCTGGCCGTGGCGTTGATCCCCAGCCGTGTCGCCAGCTCGGCGTTGCTCGGCTCAACCAGAATCGGCCCACCGTCGTCAAACACGATCGTAGGGATTATCTGGCGACCGTTATTAAGTTGCTGAACGGTCAGCTGCGCGTCTTCGTCCCGTTCGATGTCGACCCATTGGTACGGAACGCGATGCTCGGCCAGAAACTGTTTGGAGCGACGGCAATCGGGGCACCACAACGCGCCGTATACCGTGATGCTCGGATTGGTTGCATTTGTCACTAAATCACCCCCGACTGACGCCAGCGGTCAATCTCCGCAGGCTTGTATCCCAGTTCCCCCAACACCTCATCCGTGTGCTCCCCCAACGCTGCCAGCGGCCCGGCCTGGAGCGGCGTATCCGAAAATGCCACCACCGGACCCGCCATCCGCACTGCACCCAGATCCCGGTGCTGCACGTCAACAACCATATTATTTTCCAGCACTTGAGGATGGTCGAATAGTTCCTCGACGAAACGCACCGGCCCGGCGGGTACTCCCGCGTGGTCCAGCAGGTCCAGCCATTCTTCAGTGGTCTTCGCGGCGAATATTGCTTCTGCGCCCGACATCAGCCGTTCTCCGAATTCCGCCGCCTCTTGAGAATACTGGTCGTATCCTTCGTCGAACCGGATATCGTGCAGGCCGATGACGTCCAGCAGGCGTTTACGTAGCGCGGTGTTCAGGCAACCTACGACGATTATCCCGTTGGCAGTTTGAAAAAACCGGTAGTAGATGTTCCCCGGCGACTGGAAGTGCTGCGCCTCGTAGGCATCCAGTACCTCCGGATACGGCACCCCACCGGCCCGCATGGCGTTCAGCGACTCCAGAACCTGGGCATGAGTTTCGGTGTCGATGGATTCGATTCGCACAAAGCGCATCCCAAGCATCATCAGGCCGGTGCCCAGCAGCGACGCTTCCAGCTTCTGGCCCTTGCCGCCGTTTCTCTCACGGGCGAACAGCGCGCCGCAGACCGCCCAGGCCTGGGCCAACCCGCAGGCCGAATCCACCAGCGGACTGGCCACGATGTGTTGGGGGACACCTCGTAGCACCTTTCCCTCACTGGTCGCGATCCCCGACATTGCCTGAATGATGATGTCGTATCCAGGGCGATAGGCGTCGGGTCCATTGTGTCCGAAAGCAGAGCCCTCGCAATAGATGAGGCCCGGGTTGATGCCCGACAACGTCTCGTAGTCGATGCCCAGCCGCGCCGCCACGTCGGGCCGATTGTTGGCCAACACCACGTCCGCCTGCTCGGTCAGCCGCCGCACCACGTCGCCGCTCTCCGGCTGCGCCAGGTTGAGCGTCACCGACCGTTTGCCCCGGTTGTACGCCATGAACGGCCGGCCCTCCGTTGGCAGCACTGCCTGGGCGTACCGCCACAGGTCGCCCCACGGCGGTTCAACCTTGGTGACGCTGGCTCCCATATCTGCGAGCAGCATCCCTGCCGTTGGCGTCGCGATCATGGTCGAAAATTCGACAACCTTTATACCGTCTAGTGGGCCGGGCATAGATCAATCTCGGAGCACAATATATGCTTTGACGTTCACTGGGCTGCATCCGGATGCAGCGATCCGGGTGCCGCCGATTATAGCACCCGGTCAGCCGAACAACGGCAGCCGAGCCTCGTCCAGCCGGATGGCCTCCGACGGAATCATGGCCGCCAGCTGATCCGGCGAATACCCTCCCGTCCCGCTGCTATCGTCCAGCCAGGACAGGGCTTGATCGGCCCGGCCGGTCGCGACTCCTTTGGACTGCAGCAGCACGCGGAAATCGCCCAGGCCACCCGGACGTGTCAGGTGGGTGAGCCCCGTGAGCCACGCCCTCCCGCCGTCCGTTTCCGAGCCCGCCGTATCCGGCAAAACGTCTGGGAGCAACCCGTCTGGCCCAACCTGTAACGAATTCCACCCCGAGGCTTCCAACCCATCGGGTGGTCCACTGCGGCGCATGGTTTGCAGTCCCAATCGGTGCAGGAATTGACCCTGAGACAGGCTGCCGATGCTGGTCAATCCCGCCTGTTCGCCCGACCTTTGCACGGAAGTAAAATCCACCTGGGCAGTCATGTCCTGGCGTCCCGCATCGACCAGCGGCGAATCGGTTTGCAGATGGTTGCGGTAGGTCACCAAAGTTCCATCGGGTCGCTGCTCCGGGTTGTAGAGGTCGGCAGCGGATCGCCCGTAATCGATGGTAAGCACGAACCCCGCTTCCAGCACGGCGGCAACCGACTTCGACCAGTCTTCCAGCATCAGGCACACCTCGGCGGTTTGACCCTCGGCAAGCGAGATGCCGGCGTCGGTCAGATATTGTTCCAGACGGGGAGTTGATAGTGTACCGGCGCGTTCAAACAGCACACCTTCATATCCGTCGGCCACGTCTGGCCCGACATCAACGTACAACTCCCGCAAGATGTTGCGCTCCATGCGGACGCGATGCACGGGAAACGCGTCGAGCAACTCGTTGGACAGCACACACCCGACCGCATTACGCACCGGGAGTCGCAGTGCATCCCCCACAATCCGTTGAGCAATGGACGTGCCGTGTTCCCAACCGGCCAGCGGGCGCAGGTCGCAGGCAACGTATCTGATCGCTTCGCCGAACCCATCCGGCAGGTGTGCGGCGGCGGTGAGGATGTCGCGGCAAAGCAGGCCGTTTCCGGCGCCGGGCTCCACCACCACAAACGAACTTGGCCTGTCGAGCAATGTCCAGAGTTGGAATAACTGAACCGAAATCAGGGCGCCGAAGGCCGGGTGCACCTGCGGACTGGTGTAGTAATCGCCCGGAAAGTTTCGGCCGGCTTCTCGGCCCCCTTCAGCGTAATATCCTCCCGGTCCGTAAAGGGCGCGGGCCATGTATTCGGCGAAGGTGATGCGTCCCTGGCGGGCAATACGGCGGCGAATGGCCCGCTCGGCGCGTGTGGGCGCGTGTGATCCCGCGTTGGTCACGCTGATGGTTGTCCCGGGAACGCGCGTTCGCGACCGGATTGAAAACACACCGAAGCGCGCAGCACACTCCCCACGGAATTACCGGTTGCCGCGCCGCGCACTAACGATAGAGCGGTTTGAAGAAACTGTGCAGAAAGTTGTTGCGGTGCGCCCACGAATGCGTCCGCTTGAGTACCGCATCGGGTATCGGCTCAGCGCTGCGATGGGTGATGCGGAGGGTCTCGTGGTCAGACAGTTCCGGCGGCGCATCGGCGGTGTACAGCACTTCGCATCCCTCGGCCTGGACATACAGCTTCAGGGTGTCGAAGCCCTTTACCCGACGTCCCGGCGTTTGATACACGTAGAATTCGGTACTGCCCACCAGCTCATCGAAATGATCGTTGCCGTTGCCTCGGCCTCCACCCTGCCGGATCTGCTCGCGCCCGATTCCATAGTTGCTCAGCCTTCGTTGCTGCATCTCACACCGCCTGTCGTACCCGGGGCCGAAGTCCCGTTACGGGTAAATAGCCCAACCGACCCGTTCGGTTTTGGCGTGGAAAAAGTGGCCGTCGGTGGAGGTCACGAACACGTCGGTCAGATCCGGGCCGCCGAAACACACGTTGGTGGGTCGGGTAGCCGCGACCGGGTGGGTCTCCAGGATCCGTCCGGTCGGAGAAAAGACGTAGAGCATCGGACCCGGCCCGCCCGAAGGCCAACCTGCCGTCGCAATGATGTTCCCGTCAGCGTCCAGACACATGCCGTCAATGCCCCGGTGTACCTGGCTGGCGTCCCGGCCGAACGTATGCAGGGTGGTGTACGTGCCAACCGTGCCGTCCCCGGTGATCGGGTAGGCCCGCAGCTCCCGGTCGATGTCCATTCGATCGCTGTTGCTCTCCGCCACATACAGCGTGTTTCCGTCCGGGGACACCAGAATACCGTTCGGCATGGTTGTATCGGTGGTGGAACGAACCGTCCGGTAGGAACCGTCCGCCTGCGGTACCGCGCACAACACGGAACGGTGGTCCAGCTGTTCCACTTCGGGCGGGTCAATGTTGCCGGCATTCCAGGGATTCGTGAACCAGATGCGGCCCTTGGCGTCGATGGCCAGGTCGTTCGGCGTGTTCAATGGTACGCCGTCCAGGTTGTCCGCAATGGTGGTCGTGCCGCCGTCCGCGTCGAAACGCACGATCGCCCGCCCATTCTGACAACAGCCATACAGCCTTCCCTGCGCGTCGAAGGCCAGGCCGTTGGTGCGATTGGTATTTTCGCGGTAGACCGAAAACTCGCCAGACTTGGGGTTATACCCGTAGATTCGGCTGGCATGGATATGGGTGAATAATACTTGCTCGCCATTCCACGCGGGACCTTCGGTAATGCCTCCTGGTGGGTCTTCAAACCGGTTGATGAGGTTGAAACGCCAGCTCATGTCGGCCAACTCCTTGCCAAGTTGTCATGACGCCAGCCCGCCGGACAATTACCAGCCCTGGAGCAGTGACGGGTCGCGCCCGCCGGGATTGTAGCAGGCCGCGCCGCTGGGCGGCAAACGGGATGTGTCCTACCCTGCGCCTCCGCCAACGGTACGGGACCGCCGGCCATATCATCGCGAGCCCGGCGCGGCAATCCCGCCACCACCCGGGGGAACCGTAGTTCGTCAGCCATGCCAGGTTTTGACACTGGGGCCGTCGACCGCTAGCATCCCAATTACCATGCCCGAGTTTTTCAATGTTTTGCCGCCCGCCGAAGCGTTGGCTTTGCTGATCGACCGACTGCCCGATGGCCCTTTGGTCGGCCGGGAAACCGTTGCCTCCGTGGATGCACTGGGTCGCGTTACGGCAGAAGTCATCACTGCCGGAGAGTCCTTGCCGGCATTTGCCCGCTCGTCCATGGACGGCTACAGCGTTCGTGCGTCCGACACCTACGGCGCCACGGACGGACTGCCGGCCTGGTTCAACCTGGTCGGCGAGGTGCCGATGGGGCGCGAATCCGGCGTTTCGTTGGCAATTGGCGACGCAGCGGTCGCCTACACCGGGGGGATGCTGGCCGGCAACGCCGACGCGGTGGTCATGGTCGAACGAACGCAGCAAATCGACGACGTTACCGTCGAGGTGGTCCGTTCGGTTGCACCCGGCGAGAACGTCGTGCAGCCCGGTGAGGATGTATCGGTCGGCGATATGGTGTTGCCGGCCGGCCACGTGGTGCGGGCCCAGGACATTGGCGCCCTCACCGCCCTGGGGATAACCGAAATCATGGTCGCCAGGCGGCCCCGTGTTGCCATCCTCTCGATAGGTGATGAAATTGTGCCTCCCCATAAATCGCCCGGCCCCGGTCAGGTGCGCGACGTGAATTCGTACACGGTCGCGTCGCAAGTCGCCCAGGCCGGAGGCGTACCCGTGCTGTTGGGTCTGGTTGGCGATGACTTTGAAACCCAACTGGACGCCTCACGCCGCGGGTTGCAGCAAGCGGATATGCTGGTGCTGTCGGCCGGCAGCTCGGTGAGTCTGCGTGACCGCACGGTGGACATCGTGGCCGCCCTGGGCGAACCCGGTGTTCTGGTTCACGGCCTTTCCCTGCGCCCTGGAAAACCGGCCATCGTCGGGTTGTGCAACGGCAAACCCATATTCGGATTGCCGGGCAACCCGGTCTCCGCGATGGTCGTATGCGATTTGCTGGTTCGACCGGCGGTGTTTCGGCTGGCGGGATGTCCGGTTCCGCCGGTTCCCGCCGAGACCACGGCCATCCTGGCGCAAGACATACCCTCGGCGGCCGGCAGGGAGGACTTCGTGCCCGTGCGGCTGGATACCCCCGGCGACGATGAATCCCCGGATAGCTTGCCTGTTGCCCATCCGGTGTGGGGAAAGAGCGGGTTGATATTCACCCTGGTACGCGCCGACGGGTTGTTGCGGGTTCCGCCCGATCATGCCGGAATCTACGCCGGCGAACAGGTGCGGGTGCGGCGGTTCTGGTAGAAGCCGGACACCCTCTGCGCCATCCAGCGAATCCCGAACCAGTCAGCCGGCACGAAGCGCCAACGATAAACATGGCCTCTAACGACGCACACTCACACCCACGCCACCGGCGTTACTTCCTGCAGGACATACCGCTGGAAGAGGCGTTGACCCGGTGGTTCGGTGTGATGGAAAACGCCGGGGCGCTGCATCCAACCGATGCTGTGCCGGTGGCGCTGGACGATCCGCAAATCGTCGGCAGGATTACGGCTGGGCCGGTTTGGGCCATCGCATCATCCCCTCACTACGATGCCGCCGCGATGGACGGGATCGCCGTGCTAGCTTCCGATACCATCGGCGCAACTGAAACTGCGCCAGTCTCCTTATCGGTGGGAACGCAGGCCATTTGGGTGGACACCGGCGACCCCTTGCCTCCCGCTTCCGACGCGGTGGTGATGATTGAAAACGTACAGCGGGATGCCCTTGATACAACCACCGTTCGTATCCTCGAACCCGTGGCCCCCTGGCAGCACGTCCGGACTCTTGGCGAGGACATCGTGGCGACCGAACTGGTGCTTCCCGAGAACCACCCCGTCAGCCCCGTCGATCTGGGGGCCTGCGCCGCTGCCGGGCTGGTTTCCATTCCCGTACGCCGTAAGCCCACGGTTGCCATCATTCCGACAGGCAACGAACTGGTGCCGATCCAGGCCCATCGCCAACCGGGCGACATCCCCGAATTCAATTCGCTGATCCTGGCCGGGTTCGTACGCCAGTGGGGTGGCGAGCCTCAGGTTTCTACGCCCATCGCCGACGATGCGGAGGCTATTCGCCTGGCGGCTCTGTCCGCCCTGACCACCTGTGATGTGGTGGTGATCAACGCCGGGTCGTCGGCGGGCGACGCCGATTACACCGCATCGGTCATCGAAGCATTAGGGACTCTGGAAGTCCATGGGATCGCCATCAGGCCCGGCCATCCGGTGGCGCTGGGAGTGGCTCGCGGCAAGGCCATCCTGGGATTACCCGGTTACCCAGTATCGGCAGCGCTGACGGCGGAGCTGCTGTTGAAACCCGTTTTGGAGCGGATGCTGGGTGTCCAGATGCCGGAGCGCCAACGCATGCCGGCGAACATCACCCGCAAGGTTCTTTCGCCCATCGGCGAGGACGAATTCCTCCGTGTGAAGCTGGGGCGCGTGGGCGACAAAATGACCGCGACCCCGGTGCAGCACGGAGCGGGCGTCGTTATGTCCCTGGTGCGCGCCGATGGCATCGTGCGCATTCCCCGTTTGTCAGAGGGGCTGGACGCCGGAGCCGCCGTGGACGTTGAGCTGTTGCGCTCCGTCTCCGAGGTGGAAAACACCATCGTTGCCATCGGCAGCCATGACCTCACGCTGGACCTGATGCAAAGTTTCCTGCGTCGTCAGCGGCCGGCTGTGAACCTGGCATCGGCTCACGTTGGTAGCCTGGGCGGGTTGGCGGCCCTGCGTCGGGGCGAGGCTCACCTTGCTGGCTGCCACTTGCTTGATGCCGACAGCGGGGAGTACAACATCGCGTACGTTCTTCGCTATCTGCCAAACACGCCGGTGGTGATCATCCGCCTGGTAGGGCGAACCCAGGGCTTGATGGTTGCGCCGGGCAACCCGGTTGGACTCCACTCCCTGGAAGACCTGATAAAACCCGAGGTTCGATTCGTCAACCGGCAGCGTGGCTCGGGCACCCGGGTCCTGCTGGACTACCACCTTGGCAACTACGCCATCCCGCCGTCGGCGGTGACTGGCTACGAGCGCGAAGAATACAGCCACCTGGCAGTGGCCGCGGCGGTGTCCGGTGGATCAGCGAATGCCGGCCTGGGAATATTGTCGGCGGCTCGCGCTCTGGAATTGGATTTCGTTCCGCTCTTCGACGAAGAATACGACCTGATCGTGCCGGTGGAGCATCACCAGAGCCCACAGTTGCAGCCGCTGCTGGCTTTGCTGAACGACCTGGAGTTTCGTGCGGCGGTACACGACATGGGAGGCTACGATGTATCGGTTATGGGTTCGGTGCGGACAACGTCTCCGTAGGTCGCCATGAAATTCCAGCAGCCACCGCCCCCTGAGAGCCGTCGCCCGGAGGATTTCATCATGCGACGCGAAGCCGAGCTGAAGCAGGCCCGGTCTGCTCACGGCGATCTGCATCCGGAGACGGTTCGGGCGCAGCATCGATTGGCCCACGCTTTCCGGGCGGCCCGCAAGTTCAACGAGGCGTTGGGCGGGTTCGATTCCGCGGTAAACGCCAGCATCCAGGTTCACGGCCCGAATGACGCGCAAACACTCCGTTACCGCAGCAGCCTCGCCAATTGCCACTTCGCCGCCGGCGACACCAACCGCGCCATCGAAATATTCGCAGAACTCCTGAAGGCCAGGCGAACCGTTCTCGGCGAAAACCACCCCGACACTCTGCGCAGCCAGGGAAGTTTGGGCAACGCCCTCCACTCCGCCGGCCGGTTCATCGAAGCCGCCGCCTTGCATCACCGCAATCTGGGCGACCGGGAAAGAGTGTTGGGCGTAGAACATCCATCCACCGATGCCAGCCGGCGAAACCTGGCTCGCAGCCTGGGCGACGATCCAACGGTGCCCTGACAGGCTACATCCTGTAACGGCGCCTCCCGTTCCCCTAACACCATTTCCCCTAACACCATTATCCGAATCGCCGGCATCCTAGGCGGTATCCGTGGTAGATTGTTCCGCCACCGGGTAATCCGAAATCTGATTTCCAGCGTTAACCTGTCTAGATGCTGCACCGAGTCACCAGACTTCCCCGAATTGGGCCACCGACCACATGGTTTGGCCCCGCGCTGCGCCGCGCCAGCATGGGCCGGTTGGAGTGGGCGTTCCTGATCGTCGCCATCGTCGCGGCGGCGCTGCGCCTTTGGGAACTCGACGGCCGCACCATGCACTACGACGAGGCGATCCATCTGCATTTCGCGTGGAAATTGGCCCAGGGCGTCCCTTTTATACATTCCCCCTGGATGCACGGGCCGTTGCAAATCGAGATGGTGGCGGCGACCATCAGGTGGATCGGGGATACCGATTTCCTGGCGCGTCTTCCTTACGCTGCATTCGGCGTTGTTCTGGTGGTGCTGCCCTACTTGTTACGGAGAAACATCGGCCAAATCGGAGCCGTCTGCGCCGCAATTTTCCTCACTCTATCGCCAACCATGTTGTATTTCAGCCGGTTCGGACGCAACGACATGTTGATGGCGGTTTGGGCTTTGCTGCTGCTGATATTGATGTGGCGATACACAGAAACCAGCCGCAACCGCTACCTGTACTGGTCTGCCCTTGTGGTCGCCCTGATGCTCGCAACCAAGGAGACGGCATATTTCGTCATTTTCTTCGTCGGTGTCGCTGCGCTGGTTTTCGGATGGCGGCAGATCGCGCTCCTGCTCAGACGGCAGCAAAGCTTCAGCGCACTGCGCGGAGCCGCCGGCTTCTTTGTGTTT